ATTTTACCAGAAATTATCAAACAAGCAGATACGTAACATTATTTATAAAGAAATTAATTTTTCTCTTTTAGCACAGTACAATCAATAATTAATTTTCTTGTCACTTGTTTTAATTACTGGTTTGTTTCATAAAATGTCATGTATTTTAATTGGAAGCTCATAATGAAAGCAAAATATAGAATTGTGTTATAATAAAATTACAGTACTGGTTAGCCACATAATATTTGTCAAACACTTACTTAATGTCTCGTTTATTACTCCGGTAGTTTAGACTTTCTAACAGCTAGAGTATATTAAATCTAAAAGAAAACATATGTGGACTTCCTAACACACAGATTATATTAGTGTAAAACAAAACACGTTTAGAATTTCTAACAGCTAGATTATATTTGATAAAACCAAACCAGTGGGTAAAATATTCCAAAAAAATTAATTTCTCTTATTGGAATGTAACATTTTTGTTCACTTCTCTCACGTTCAGCGATTTCACTTGAAAAAGATTATTGCGGGAAATTAACAAAGAAAATTAAATTCCCTCACACTTAATAGATTTTTCTCTATTTTGGCCCAGTAGTAACGTATAAATCTTGTGAAATTAAAACAAACTTAAAAAATGATCCTGCACAGTTTAAATTGTGACTCCAATAATTAAAGATGGCCACCCACATAGTGTGTTTCTATGCTCTGCCAAATTGCATATATATATATATATTCTGAAGAAAAAAGGACAAGTTTTTTAATAACATGTTAGAGAATCAAAAAACAGGGTCATTATGGTTTGAATAATCTCCATATAGGTGAGGAATATTGACATTTTGCTCTGATTTCCTGTACATTTATGGGAAATGAGTGATAACTCATTTAGAATTTCTAGCAACTAGATTATTTCTATTAACTAGATTATATTAGTGTAAAACAAAACATGTTTGAATTTTTAACAGCTAGATTATATTATGTAAAACAAAACACATTTGGAATTTCTAACAGCTAGATTATATTAGTGTAAAACAAAACATGTTTGGAATTTCCAACAGCTAGATTATATTAGTGTAAAACAAAACATGTTTGGAATTTCTAACAGCTAGATTATATTAGTGTAAAACAAAACATGTTTGGAATTTCTGACAGCTAGATTATATTAGTGTAAAACAAAACATGTTTGGAATTTCTTACAGCTAGATTATATTTGTGTAAAAGTTTACAATTATAAGAAACAATGATAAAATTAAAAGCTTAGTGACTTTGTGTACAAATAAATCACAACTAGGTAAAATCCTATAGACTAACCCTAATGTATACTAATAATAAGTGTTTGAAGTAACCTCATCACCTTTCAAGCAGCTTCCTTGATTTACCATAAGTATATGATCAAAACATTGTGCTTTTAAAGTCCTTTTTAATGAACAATATAGTAATGCAAAATAATTTAGGTTTGTGAGTAATGTTACAACTTGTGCCTAAATCACTATTTATTCTATATTATATATTGGACCAACCAAATATTTAATGATTATATATATATGTGTGTGTGTATATATATATGTTACAGATTTCTTTCTGAGCAAAGGTAAAGGTCTGTGACATAGAGGCCTAATGCCTAATGTTTTCTTTGATTGGCCATACCCTCTGGTGTGGACTGCAGTTTTGCCAAGCTGTACTGATGAGCCTTGAATAAGTGAAACTGCAGTCCACAACAGATGGTACATCCAATCAAAGAAAGCATTAAGCCTCTGTCACAGATTCTCTTTTCAATTTTACCTATACATTTTTTTATACATAATCATTTAACATTGTGATGGTATTTTAATTCACTCATGTTTTGCTAGTTTCCCTGGTCATTGAACCCTTTATCATCTCCACCCATACATTTACGGTAATGGAAAAAAAACCTTCCATGGATGCTAAATGGTTAAAAGAACTTTCACTGTACATTTGTCTGTTTAAAGTGGACAAAGATCTGTTATGTACACTCATTCTGATGTAACTACAGTTCCTACAACATTGAATAAAGTATAGTTAGGAATATAATTTTTTATGTATGTATTATCTTAAAGTTCAAAATGTTCACCCAGTTCAGCTGAGTGCCCGTTTCAAACTGCCATGTGCAATAGGCTTAGCTCTCTCATTGTATGAACTTTTTAAACAACAGTTTTGTTTCAATTTTCTTTTAGTTGGAATCTTCACTCTTGCTGGTTTTTACCAGATGTCTATCTGGGCTCTACAGAAACATCGTAACTATCTAAAGGAATTTAAGGACTACCCCCAGAGAAGAAAGGCTATCATCCCTCTACTTCTGTGACTCTTCTAAATATTGAATGATACTGTATTTGTTTTTTTGTTTTTTAAAAAACGTTTTCAAAATACTACATTCCAATTTATTCATACACTGGAACTGGCTAATCTTGGATTTCTTGAACTAATTAATTTTGGTTACATCTAGTACAAATAGGTGTACTAAACTATAAGTTAAAAATAAGATGGGCAAATTCTTAACCTTCAACCAAGCACAGTTCTTTGTCAATTTTAGGAGTACTTGTTGATTTATTAATGACTATTGCATTGTAAGAAAATATATTTCTTCAAATAGAAATTGGGGAAAATGAATTACTGTATTTGTAAAGGGTCTGTAGGGTTAAATATTAGTTTCATTAAGTTGTTTACATTATAATATTGAATTACTGGAACCTTGGTACTTGAGGAATATAACACATTGCACTCGGGTATAAAGTTCAGTATAGAATACTGAATACATTTAGAATACTCATTGTTTTATTAATTGTAACTTGAAGCTGCAGTGAACTGATTGATCTATGTAGATCAACAACAGTATGTATAATAAAACAGTAATAGGTGAAGGTGTTTCTACTTGTGTACTTTTGTTAATTAAATACCCAACTTTAACTGACTTGTGTGATTATTTATGTGTATCTGATGCCAACTGCTTCTTTCTGTTTGAACTTGCTACATTTGTGTATTTACTAATGAGACTGAAATACTGTTTTTCGTTATCTAAACTACCTAAAGTCTGAGTATTAAAACCATCAAACTAAAATTATTGTACTTTTTTTTATCACTAACTAATAACTTGCAATATTTAGAAACTAAAGTGAAAGAAACTTTGACAAATTAGTGTACGAAAATTATTTGTAAAACAAATACCTCCTTGTTTTGAGGATACATTACATATAATTAGAAATTAATATATGCAAGTCTTGATGCAGCTAGACAAAAGTTTCATATTTGTTTGTAAAAAATACCTTCTTGTTTTGAAGATACATTACATATAATTAGAAATTGATATATGCAAGTCTTGATGCAGCTACAGACAAAAGTTTCATATTTGTTTGTAAAGAAAATACCTCCTTGTTTTGAGGATAAAATACATATAATTAGAAATTGATATATGCAAGTTTCTTTTCTTTTTCCTCCAACAACTGCTGTAATCTCTCTTCTTGTTTCTTTTCTCGTTCTTCTTGTTTCTTTTCTTTTTCCTCCAACAACTGCTGTAATCTCTCTTCTTGTTTCTTTTCTTTTTCCTCCAACAACTGCTGTAATCTCTCTTCTTGTTTCTTTTCTCGTTCATTTTCTCGTTCTTCTTGTTTCTTTTCTCGTTCTTCCTGTTTCTTTTGCTGCTCTTGTACAGACTTGATGGCAGCAACTACAGCTTAGTTTGATTTTCCGCCTCTCGTTTCCAAAAAAAAGAGAAGAAAAATCTATCCCACTCTCTGACACCAATTTGTTACGTCTCCGTTTGTTAATTAACTTTCCGTAACTTCGTTCCGACGAAACTTAAGCGACACAAGTTCTTTCTTAATAAAAACTGGTTTATTCTTTCCGAATACAACTTTACCGATACACTTATTCTCAACAGTTGCGTTATAACAAACTATAATAACGAACGAACGTTAACTACAACAATACGTCTCTCTCTGACTGCAGTTCAATTACTCACTATCTACCCAGACATTACATTCCCCTCTTTTTATACCAGCCTACCCTATATCTAGTAGGAACTAGAACATTCGCCAAAGTACATGATAGTTCTAGAAACGTTGCGTCACAGTAATCATGTGACTCGATGACGCAACAATATATATATATATACTGTTGGGTGAAAATACTCATTTATAACTAATGGTTATTTGAAATTATCTATGAACATATGAAACAGGCTATAGGTACCGAAAAATTCAGTTGGATAACTGTAAATATAATTCACACACTCACACTAACATTACTAACTATGTGCTACAACAAAATATCCGCTTGCTTTTCCGTGAGTCTTTCAACATCCTCATTGTAATGGGAACAAACGTTGCCACACGCCTAAACAGTATGATCAAAATGCAAAACTAGGTATAATAATACATTAAGGAAGTGAGAATTTTTTACCCTATATAACCGTCACAATACGTTACGAATTCGTTTTTAAAAACATAGGTCGTAGAACTTCATCAGTTGTGTTTCTGGATAAAGACTACATCACAGATATATATTGTTTAGCAATTTATATATATATAAATGTCGCATATACCGAAAATACGTTTAAATGTATAAGTTTAATCACAGAAGAAATTTAAATTGACGCTATTGTATAAACCACATGTTAGTAGAAATTCTAATGTTTGTGTATAGTAATTTCATCCAGTAAAATATGACCCAGACAGACAGGTAGATAGATAGATACTTCTTTTCTTGGAAACAACCAAACTTGTTTTACTTTTGTATAACTTAAATGGATAGATATGAGGCAAAAAGGGCAATAGTGTAAATTACTCAAATTCTGAGTGCTTCTCAACTTTCTCATAATATTAAAGAAATTATACTTAAAAACATACGAATGCGAATTAGAAAGAAGTCCATTATTTTCTGTGTTTTATAAAACTTAACCAGATAATATCGATAATAATGAAAAACAATATTAAACGTTTGTTGTTTTCATTAAACTTAGAATGATAACACTTGACAACATCCTTTCCGGAAGAGGGCAGGAATGTTCCAATGAATAAGTTATGCCAACTCGTATGATTCGCAGGATAAGTCTAAGCCAAGTAGTGGTGGAAATTTATGTTAGATTAGGCTGATTGTAGTTTTACCAAAGACATCTCGCAATTGAAGTTGCCGTGTGAGTATTCTAATAGTTTATTCAGGGTATTATCCAAGTAATCGAACTGTTAAGTAATATTGAATGCTTTAAACTTGTACAACAAATATAGTAATACTTTACTGTTACTGTGTATTAATACCACTAATAAATTAATAATATTATTATTAATTTATATGCAGTACTAGTAACTAGTACTAATAGGAATAGTGAGTAATACACAGCAACAATAACGCGATTGTGTATTACTATTACTACTGATAGTAGTAGTACTCTAAAGTAATAATATAATAACCATTACTTAGCAGTAGTAGTACTAGTAGTGATGTAGCAAATAGGACTAAGTTAATATCTTTACAGTATAGTAGTATTAGTACTAACCTTACAAAAACAAGTTAGTAATATTTTAATAAAGTAATAATCACTAATATAGTGGATGTGCTGAGAAAGCACAATACAACTTCATAAGAGACTACAGAGGATTTAGGTTATTGCACATCTTGGATAATAAGATAAATTGGTTTAGTTAAATTTTAACTTAAATGAATTAAGAGTATGTTGTGTGAGGATTTTACTGGTGGCATAATAAGGTTGTTGCAAAAGGGACAAAATCAGCGAATTGATGTTACAAGTGGCATACCTTAGACTTACCATTCTGCATTATCCTTTGTCATATCTTATTTTAATTCATGACATTTATAAAGGAATAACCAGTAAGTTACTAAAATATGTATACCATATTAAATTAATGGGTATCTTAAATTCTACTAAAGATACTGAAATTTGCTATTTTTCATTGTTCTTAAAGTTAATGACTTTAAGGTATTATGAAGACGAATGTGGAATTCTTATTGCCCAACACCCAGGACAAAAATTTTTTTCTATTATTCTTTGCCTTTTGTCCAAATAGTTTTCACTTTGTTCATTTTATTGCTAGAAAAACTGGGCACATTTGAAGGGAGTCTCACAAGTTTCTGAAAATTTTGAACTTTAAAAGTCTAGCATATACAGACATTTGCATATGCATACCTGTGAACTTCAAATCAAAACTATATAGTATACACAAATATACATGTTTTAATTACTAACCCTTTCAGCCACACGCATAGTAACAGTAACAGTCATATTTAAATTTCATGTAACAATATTATTACCTTGCTTTTATCTGCAGCAAGAGATAAAGTTGGACTGCCAAGTCTAAGAAAAATATATAAAAAATAAGGAAAATTACAAACTTTAAACTGTCTCTCACGCACACACACACACACACACACACACACCCATTTAACACCATTTTAGTCAATGGTGGCAATAATGTAAACTATTATTATTAGTTCATATTAGAAGGTAATCGGTATAGTATGATCTACTGGTTAGACCTTATCTGTAATATTGTCTGCTTTTGTTTATTTAAGAAATTATTTTAAATTATTGGAGAGAGTTCAAAGAAGAGCTACTAGGATGATTCCAGGGGTGAAGGGTTTTTTTGGGGGGGTGATGGGTTAATATATTTTAATTTTTTCATGAGTTGATTTTATTAAAAGTTTAAAGAATTATCAGGGAGATCAGTAAGATAAATGCCTTGTATTTTTTATGTGTGCAGAAGACAATAAGAGAAGTTTTAGACTTGGAAAATATGTATTCTAAGCTTTGATTTTATTTTCAAAACAGGGTGATTAGCCTCACATAATATCAAAACTGTCTTTGCACACTCAATCCAGAGAAAAGTAAAAATTTTAACTATAGTTGTTGTTTTTTTTCAAGAGATTCCCTTCTTAAATTCCTGTAAAGTGCTGGTCTCCACTATGAACATAAACTCATTCAGTAAGTCAGTCACCCTGTTAGAACTTAAGCATTTTGTTCAACTTAAGTTGATATCCTTGGTACAGGAAAAGGACAAAAAAAACTCCTAGTATTATAAATGTGGCTTTACTACATAGATTTGTTAAAGTTGGAATAAATTTCCTACTTACATTTTAAGCTTAAATGCATACATGTACATAGTTTCAAGAACTATTAGCTGCAACCACACAACAAAACTGCAGATACAAACAAGAGTATTTTTAAATACAGCTGTAATATTTAAAATATGACATTGTGATGACTAGGGTCAAGGCCTAAAAATATGCTAACTTTCTCCGTGTTGAACCCTACAGCTTTCATGTATACACTATAGGTTTTTTTTTCTTAAGAAACGGTTAGAACAGTGGAACATTTTTCATGTTACATTACATAAATAGTTTTAATAATATGAACCAATAGATCTTTTTGCTTCCATATTTTAGAAATACATTGCTCTTTTGTGTTTTATCAACCTTTTCCTGCATATATAATAAAGAATTCTTCTTTAAAGCAGCCTCTGAATATGTTATAAATATGAACACTAAAAACAGTTTTCACATCATTTATTGAAATTAATCTTCTACGTAAATGGCTTGACGGGCAACATGTAAATTGTATGTACTGTATGTACAGTAAATAAACATGCAAGGAAACAGACAAATACTGATAACACTATCTAAATATTTTCCAGCACATAAAATTGCAAAAGCAATATGGAAGCAACAACAGAAACAAAAAGGTGAAACAAGCATCAATTGTCTAGCTCGGAATGATACTAGTAAAGAAAAATACTGGAGAACTAAGCTACATAAGTAGCTCAGTTGGTGCCCATTTTACCTTTGTTTGATCAACAGTTTAATTTAATGTCAAGAGTTCAAATGTTGACAGACCTGGTGATCAGACTGCATCAACTGCTCTGAATTGACATGTACACTGAGAATGCTTCAAACCACTGAGAGAAAAAAAAAGTTTGAAATTCCCTTTTCCTTTACCAATCACTGGCTGCTAACACACAATTATTTAATCCTAACTTTTGTTTTTTAGTGGACAGGAAGGCATGCTGGTTAAACACAGTCGTCATTTTCTTTGTAAGTGTGATGTGACTAGTTATAGTACATCTGTGAAGAAAATAACATGTAGCTTATTTGGTTCAGTGGTTTATGTGTAACTGAATAAGCTGACGTCATGCAGATCATACAATGTACATGCTGCAGAGAGTGTGCCAAGCACAACTTGGTTTCCTGTGTTCTCTGTTAATGTAACTTATACTGGATATGCGGATAGTTGAATAATACATACTTTTGTATAGAATAGTCAAGCTGGTAGTATTTGAATTGATTCAGCTGGTTTTTTATTTTTTAAATATACAACAAAAGCAACAATGGATATGCATTGTAAATAAGTAGAGTATTATCTCATGTTTTTTGAGATGCATATATTGTGGCTAGCTCTGGATAACACTATTTTTATGCATGCTGTAATACTAGTTTAAAAAAACTGATTAAGAAAACATTCCAAAAAAATAACATAGACAAAACTATTAAACTTTATAATCCACACCTTAATATATGAGATTGTTTCAGTAATGTTTTTGCTTTTATTTATGAAGTAACAATTTATTTTTAACTGAAGTAAAGACATTAATGTATTACTGGTGTTTTATAAAACACTGTTTTTTTTTAAATCATTCTGTTGCCTGGTATCTTCAAGTTATAGTAATCAAGGTGATCATTGATGTTCTGTCAACTTCATAGTATAATGTGTTTCTTTAAAGCTTCTGTTGCTCCAGTGTGCTCATAAACTGAGACTCATGGATCAGTAGTTTGCAACTGAGAAAATGTATTGAAAAAATAATTTATTTCATGATTTTGCACATAATGGTGAGAATGGTAGGATTCAGAGACAAATACAAGTTTTGGTATGATAGTTGTTTTCATATAAGACAACTTTATTTTATGTTAGGGTTGTATCCTTTGAAATGGGTTACCTTCAGATGAGCTAGATGCAGTAAAGTTCAAAGGATAGATTGATAAATACTTCAATAACTTTTTTGTTTTTGAGAGTGGGTGAGGTGGCTTAGATGGATCAATAGGTCCCTTGTCTGTAAATTTCATGTTATATGAAGTTAATTTTAACATTACTGTGCCCTTTAAGTGTGGAGGTCAGTATCTCCAATTGTGAAATTAATTTTTCTTTACTTCTTTGTCATTTTTATTTGAGTGTGTTTTCAACATCAAGTATATAAATTTATTGGTTGCCAGTTCTTGTTAACACAGTAAATCCATGATTTATATTCTAAGAACCATTACTGACCATAGGTATTTTTGGTTAGAACTAGGAAATTCAGCCACAAATAAACATGTTCACTTGAAAGTTTGTTTATAATTCAAAAATTATATATATATATGCAAATATGAAAGTTCAGATTAAAAAAAACATTGTCAAGTCAGTAGTTAAATGTAACTGTGCTAATTATGTGGCACAATGTGTACAAGTGTGGAACAAAATGTAAACAATATATATATATATATATATATATATATTTAACATAGTAAAGTACTAGATATATTAAGTTGTTGAACATAACTTGGATCTCATAAATTTTAAGAAATATTTTTGTTATAAACTCTTCTTGTACCTTTTTTATATCTGGGTTATGTAGATCTAAAAAATTTGGTTCTGTATATTTTTTAGTGATAATTGACTAGAATTGTTACACGCGTGTGGTAAGCTTAAGTTAAATATACTTTAGTTGTATGTTTGTAAGCTAGTCAGAAGGATTAAATACTGTTTTAATGTATTTATTTAAAAAAAAGTTTTTATTAACCCACAGCTTTTCAGTTCTTTAAAGAATTCTTTATCACAAGGAATTATAACACTAACTGAAAAACATTTGAAAGATAGACATCAGTCCTGAGGAAAATCAAGAGATTGTACTCATATTGTTACTAAGGCACACATCAACAGTATTGTACAGATCTTATAGTCAGTTAAATCTGTGTACATGCAGTATCTAAATTCACAAACTGATTAAACATAGAAAGACTTACTTAACTAGCCTATTCTATTGATTCCTTTGGTATCAAGCTTCAAGACTCAATTGAACTCGCTGATTAAGAGAAAATAATATATAATTTTAAAGTCTTGATACACATGAAAACATCAAAAAATGAGAAATTAAATAATTTGATACTACTTGCTGAAGAAAGGAAAGTTTCAACAAATCTACTGATCATCATCCAGTGATGATACAACATTTGACATTTTTCTCGCAAGTAAGGTTCTCACTTGTTACCAGATTTCTCTGTTAAAACAGGGCCTTAACTTTACTGTCGTTCTTCCTACTCTTTAAACACTTGAAACCGTAATAGGCATTCAGAAAGTTGCATACAAACTATATCTATGGAAATCAAATGTTCTAAAAACAAACAATATATACCTAAGCCTATTCTATATAAGACTGAAAAGTGGCTCATGTATCAGTTAAAGACAAATCCAGACTTAATTATATTATCATCTGACAAAGGAAATGTTATTGTAGTTATGGAGGAGAAGAGTATAATAAAATCTTTAACTCTGTTAGATGAACCTTGTTATAAACAGATAACCAAGGACTCTTCAACAAACCTTTAGAAGGGACTGAACACTGTACTAAAAAAATCTCAAAAAGAGGAAGCCAAACATTATATTAAAAACAAAGATCAAACCATCTTGGTTTATAAATGTACCCAAAATACACAAGGTAAATGTCCCACTGAGACTTGTATTCAACTTTATCAATAGTCCTACCTGTAATGTTGTGAAAAGACCTGGAAAGCTTGTTGGTTAATAAAATCTTATGTGGTACCTTAATCTGTATAAAATTTTTTGCTTGTTATTTAAAGGTCTTTTTCCCCTTCCCTCCTTTTCTCCAGATTCAAATTATGAGGATACGATGTTGTTTTTGGGGCCTGTGTTGCCGAAACATCTTATCGTTGATCAACTTCATATTTCTTCTGTTTATTGTGTCTTTCTTGTGGCTGCAGCTTCATGTAGGTAGTCTCAAATCGCAATCGCTTGACCAGAAGTTGGAAAGAAAATATAATAATGTGGCAGTTAACACGGGTAAAGTTGGTTCAACTTTAAACTCAACTGTTATCTCGGCACCACTTGTTTTGGAACATGTGAAACAAGCCATTAAGAAGATCAATTCTGAGCAGTTAATAATAAATTCATATAAATATGGACCATTATCTTCTGGAAACCCAGTTATAGTCATCCAAGTCCACAATAGATACCAGTACTTGTCTGCTCTTATCAGCTCATTACAGCAGACAAAAGGAATTGAGAAGGTCTTGATTGTATTCAGCCATGATCTGTTTGATAGGGAGATTAACCAACTAATTCAGAAGATAAGTTTTTGTAAGGTAGGTATTGTTTTTCAGTATACAGTCAGTAGCAACTGTTAATTTATCTTTTTTTGGTAGGTGGTGACAAAATTAAATTCTGCTTTAAGAGTGTCTTTAGAAAATGCATTGTAATTATGAGTACGCTTTCTTTCCACGATATTCAAGCTCTTATAGGGAGAGCTTACATGAATATCAATGGTATTTCATTAATAAAATGTTTTTTTTTTACTCTTTTGTGATTAAATTTAGTATTTATTAATACTAAGAGTGACCATCATGGGGTCAAGATTATTCTTAGTGTATGTAGTGTACATTTGTTTATTTAGGTCATTATGAAAAATAGAACTGTAGTAACCATGCATGAGAATAATCAAAAGTTGTAAAGTTAAGTGCTTGTAATAGAAGTGTCATAGCAAATAATAAAAAGGGGACAATTTGATCTGAGCAAAAGAAAATGTATAAAAGAAACAGTATCTCGTATCACAATTAATTTTAATTAAATACCATGAGTAATAGTTAGATCATGATGAATTTATAAGGTAAATATTCTTAAGCAATAAAGTTAAATTATAATAGATAGACGGAAACTGTGACAGTATTGATAAACCAAATTTACAGTTAACTGTTACTTAGTAATTTCTAAAGTCAAATAATTATTAGTGGGTATGTTAGTTTCTTCTTTCCTTTACCTTGGCCAAAATGTAGGAAAGGGCAAAAAACTTTCTACTCTGTGTGTGTGTGCGTGTATATATATATATATATATATACACACGCACACACACGTCTAGGTAGTAGCTGAAATTTAGCTGTATAGGCTATAATCTATACATTGATTAATTATTTTTAGCAATTTCTTACCTTTTCTTTTGGGCAGTGTTCAAAATTGCACTCATCTGTCTACCAAGAGGAGTGAAAATTTTCTCAGGGGAGTTATTTTTATAAAATATTCTTTCTTATGGCAGTGTACTTAAATAAAGACAGTTCAAAAGTGTGAAATTTTCACGCTTGCATTAATAGCTTAAAAGCTAGGGCAGACATTTAGTAGGGTATTAAGTGTTATGTTTTAAGTCAATAATTTATGGATTAGTAGCCATTCTACTGTTATATAATAATTTCTTAAAGGCTATGATATGGGCATTAATTATTTCTTTGACAGTTTTTTTTTTCTTTGGTTGACAATATGACAACACTGAATGCATGAAACTTGATAAAAGTATAGCTAATAAGTACTAGATCTGTGATCTCAAAAGGGAGACTATGTAATAGCTCATATGTTTGTGTACTTTAAAATTTGACATTTTTCAACAAGTTTGTATAAAAAATTAATTAGTGGAAGTATGAACATTTTGGCAGATGAGTGTTAAAAATCCTTAACTTCAGATACTACTTACATGTTCAGTTCTATATTTGTCCAAGAAATTCCTAGAAATATTTAACAATTTTTTTATATTGGTCAAGTAACGAGTTGTCAATAGACTTCTTCAACTTTTCCCTTTAGCAGGGGTCACACATACTGTCCTCCTCCAATCATCTCTGTTCATTACCGGCTCTTCCTTCATTCCTTTCACGTTCATGTCTTCTATAATCCCATCCTTCCAACACTTTACTAGCCTTCCTTGTCTTCTCTTGCCAGCTACTGGCATCTATTGATCTCCTTATTGCCTGTTTTTTCCTCTTCATGTGACCAAACCACCTCATCCTTGCTTCTCTTACATTTTCTTCGATTCCACAGATTCCTGGCATTTTTTTATTCATTCTCTTCTCTTTCAGTGACACTCCAAACAGCCATCTCAACATTCTCATTTTTCTTTCTATCAAAAAACCTTCTATACTCTGTAGAAAAGTACTGGTATAATCACTATCTCGTACAGTTTTGATTTCAGTGGCCATGATAATCTTTTGTCACAGATTACTGTGGCTGCTTCCTTCTGGTTCTTCCAACCTATCTGTATTCTGTACAACTTTCTCACTTCTTCCTTCACTTTGCATTGCACTCCCCAAGTACCTAAAGTCTTCTACCTGTTCCAGCAGCTTCCCATTTAAATCTGTGATCATGACCTTCTTCTTTCTACCCCTTTAGCTCACCATTTTTCTGATATTCACTTTAGAGCTTCTTCTTTCCAAACTCTTCTGCCACACTTTAACCCTTTTTCTAACTCCTGCTCACTTTCCACTGTTAACACTAGTTTAGTCAAACAATGAGTTGTTAACTGATTGGTTTATCAAACTGTAATAAAGAATAAAGCTGAAGATAGACCTTCATATAAACAAAATTAGGTCATACTTGATGATGATGTAGAGTTAGATTATAGCAACAATGCAATGATTGACAAAATTGGATCATAATAATCATTTATAAATTTCTAACCTCTGCCAGATGAGACAGCCTGTCATCTTAATGTGGATCTCATAAAATGAGTCATTCTGAAAAGGCATGGGTTGTCTAGATTAGGCAGAAATGATGTTTCGCATAATTTTTGAAGACTAGGAATCATATATAAGAAATCATTAGTTTCAATATTTTGTGAAACTAATGACACAGTAAAGCCCAAAGATACAGTATTGAAGTTAAAGCAAGTGCATGATGTATTACAAGATGATTTCTCTAGTGATTATCAAATTAAAAATGTAATTTCTACAATGAAGAGTAAATATAATATGGATGTTATAATGCCCAATATGGTACCACCATAGTGTAATCCATATTACTTTCATCATGTCATGTTTTCATTAATATTTAGTTGTTTTTTTTCCATTTTAGAAGTTGTGCAAAGTTTCATTCATAGAGGTTTATTGAAATAACCCTAAATCATTGGTTTCCGGAATGACTCCTGTTGACCTTCCTATCCTCTGTACTAAAAGATGCTGGGCTGGCTTGTGTGGCAGGTGTTAAAAATAAATAAGGATTGCTATTTGAAAAGTTGGATAAAATATATGAATAGTAAACCACATTATACAGTAATAGAAACTAAAATTAAGTGTCAGGAATGAAAATTTCAACGTACAGTAAATAATTCTTAATTTAACAGGTGTAGTTCATGGTTGACATTAAATAGAATAAAAGTTAACAATCAAACTGTGTAAGGTTTTAACTTCTATTGAGTTAGTAGGGTCAGTAAGAGCTAATGCGACAGGTTACAGTTAGTTGCAGTACATTGTAATAGTTTTTAACTTCTGTTGAGCTATTTAGGGTGGTGAGAGGTAGTACTCTGATTATTAGCTTGTTAAATGTATGGTACACACACGTTTTATTTATTGGAAATAAGGTCTCGACTAACTATGGTACTGTAGACTTATCGACCGAGGTAAAAAAAAAAGTTTAGTGTAATGAAAACTGAGAGCAGAACCCATGTAGTTATAATCTACTTTTCAAGTATTGTTAACTTGTTATAGTGAGAGCTGATGTGGTGGGCTTTCATTCATTATGGTACACAGAAAGATTTTTGTTAAGAGATATGCGAGCTGTCATCATGGCTGTGACCTACATATTGTGATATGTTTTGTGATTTCAATCTTTGTTCTCCTTAATTGGTTTACGTGTATACTTTAAGACAGTGGTTCTCAACCTTTTTGAATCCATGGAACTTTTCTGGTGTGGAATTTGTGTCGCATGCAAAGCATGAAAAATTTCTCGAGTCAATTACGTGGGTGCACATGCACACATAACGAGAAATGTGTTCTCTCGCATAATAAAAGCTTACATGACTCAAACACTTGCTTGTACCTTGTTTCACTCACTAATTTAAAACAATATAGTGACTGCTAGTAAAGAATATGATATTGTTGATTGTAATTATGTGACTAACATGTATTTATGCTTTATTATATATGGAACTCTTGCATTCCATGGAACTGCTGGATGTCTGTTAAGGAACCCGAGGGTTCCACAGAACCTCTGTTGAGAATTGCTGCTTTAAGACACTAGTTGTAAGTAATGCTTGGTAGGTGTGTGTGTGTGTGTACCATTTTTTTCATTATACTGTATCATTTCTGCCTAAGTGTGATGCACAAACCTTGTTGATTCGTGTACATCTAGGATGAGGCAGGCAAATCTGAAGACAAATTCTACAGGTATTGGATAAACGTGTTGCTTTTTTGTTTTACTTAATTTATTTGTAATGATTATTTTGCTAATGCTCTGAGAAATAAGAGAGCAGAAGTGTGAATTCCAATTAATTATTAAAACATTAATTACTACACGTTTTCTTGCACACAGGTCACTCAGATATTTTATCCACATTCAATTCAGCTTCATCCAAATACATTTCCTGGACAAGACCCTAATGACTGTCCACGTGACATGAAAAAAGAAGAGTAAGGTTTTTTGGTATTAAATTACTAAAACTTATTTGAAGTTTTAATCTTTATCCACACATTTCCAGAGATGTTTCACTTCTGTAGTTTGTAATTATAGTACTTATAACAAATTGAATGAATTGTTTGTTTTTTTTACTTCTAAAATTGTGTGACTGTATAACAAAATCTTTAACAAATGTAATATACCCTATATGTATAAAGTATTTATTTTAAAATAATTCAAAAATATGTAGCAAAATGCCTCATTGTAACGTAAGATAAAATAATATCCATCAGAATTAACTATGGATAGTTCCTCTTCTACTTGCAAGAATTCCAAGACTTTTATACGTCATTAGAGATGGAAAATGCTTTTTAGTTACGTGAATAAGAATGCTTAGAAGTTTGAACTGGGAAGAATTGTTAAATAATTACTCTTGAGTTATTTTTCCTGTAATTTAACTGAAAAGCTTAATTGAATAGAATTGTTTAAACATTTGTTTAACAACAAGTAAAAGCTTGGAATGGTCTATTCTTTCATTGGGGGTGTGCGTCTTGAGCCAGACTACTTTTGGAGAATTCCACTCCTCATGTTCAAGTAGAATGGAGTAGTATATTGTAAATTATAAATTAATAACCACCTTGTTTACTGTTTAACATCTTAAAAATAATGTCAAAGAATTAATCTCCATATCTCTATGTGGCTATTTTGAATTGAAAACATTGGTGGTAAAATCTGAGTATGAGAGACAAACATAAGAAACTAAAGTATAAAAAGAAATGTTGAAAATGAATTTTTCAAATCAGTATGAATTATTGAAAATGACTGGCAAGCTAGAATTTCTTGAAGTATGGCCTTACCAAAGCTGTACTTCCCTGAATCGTCACAGAACTGATCTAAAAGAAATCGAGAAGTGCCAGGAATTTTCTTCACAAACAACAAGATCAGCAAGTGGGTTAATTAGCATAGCAGCAGTAGTAAAGTTTGTATCCTGGATCTTTTTGTCCATAACAGAATTTAGATATCTTTCATAAATATATTTTATCAAAAAGGTCTTGAAATTATCTACTTTCTTGCTACACAGCTCTTAACAATTAACTTGAGAATCAAAGTTGACTCTAGAAGAATCCACTAGCCATGACACTCTTAACAGTATCATTTCTATTCTGTTGGGTTTCTCTGTTGATTTATTGCCCAATAATTGTTGTAGTCATTAAAATAAAAAATTATCTACATTTATATTATTCTTCATATGAGATTTAAAAAAAATTGTTTGTTTGATATTTTGAAGGAGATGTGTGTTTTTTCATAACCGTCTTGTTTGATAACTAGGGCATTAGTAAAGGGCTGTAACAATGCACACTATCCAGATCGCTACGGACACTTCCGAGAAGCAAGCTACACACAAGCAAAGCATCACTGGTGGTGGAAGGTAGGCTTCTATTAGTCTTTAAATATATCAATATAAAATGTGTATGAACTTAGCATTCTGTTAATATTAATTATCTCCACCATCATTACTTGCACATGTAAGGATTTGAAGGTGATATATGTAAAGAAAAAATTCAATATTAACCAAACTAAGTATGTGTAAATAAGAAAAAACTGTCCCATATCTATGTACACCCCCCCTCCCATATACACACACCTGTGAATTGTGTCTTCTTATTGACAGTACATAGTATTGTTAAATTTTGTGTCTTCTTATTGACAGTACACAGTATCGTTAAAATCTTGTGTTTTCTTATTGACTAGTACACAGTATTGATAAATACCTGTAGTCTTCTTCTTGACAGGTACACAGTATTGTTAATCTTGTGTCTTCTTATTGACAGTACATAGTATAGTTAAATTTTGTGTCTTCTTATTGACAGTACAA